TTTGCAATAAAGATAATCTTTGATTTTTACACATATAGGACAACTTGCTCTTTCATACATAACACTTTGATACCTCTAAATTTCTTTCTATATGCCAAAATTATACTTTTGTATATTTTCAGCTAACAAAGAAAAATTTTTTGAGTTATCGTGCATTGGCACTTTCTGCTCGTTTTGGATTTAGTAATATCAAAATTGTTCATAAAAATTTAGTTTTTATGGTCTATTCAATTTACAGTTTTAACATTTTAAATAATAATTTATGTGGGATTAATAACAATTTTTAAGTATTCTGATGTATTTAATGGAATATCTCTTCCCAAATATTAGGGAGAGAATTTCAAATTAATAGTTGTACAGTATGATTAGGAAATACTATTTTAATAGATTAAAGTGTGGTGAAAAATCTACTACTGCCAGTACAAAACACAGCCATTGAAAAAATGAAAATAAAGGACAAACTGTATTCCTTTTCATTTTAACAAAGGGAAAGAACAGTTTAGCAAAAATAAAGGATTTTTTATATCTGACAACTCTATATATATATATATATATATATATGACACGTTTATATGTTTGATGTGGCTTTAAGAATAATGATTGAAAACTATTATTCCCTATCTAGAAAAGTTTGGAAAACACTGTTAAAATAGAAATTTAGTAGATGATTCTAAGAAAACTAAAAAAAAAAAAAAAGCTTATGTAAACTGTAAAGGGAAAAAAAAAGGCAAAGATGATATCATTTTTGGCTAATAAACCATCGTTAGATGTCCAGAATTTGAAAAATATGCATTATTGATTGTAGCTGATTTTGTTTACACATACAGTAATACCCTGAACTTACGCGATAGGTAGGACCGAGCGGTAACCGCATAAGTCGAATTCGCGTAAGTCGGGGTATAATTTCGCATATAAATACATACAAATAATTTTTTATTGGGGCCGGAGACTAAAGAAAACAATAATTTAGAAAAAAATGTTTAATAAAATCTTAGATAATACATATGTATAACAAATTAGGCCTATATTATTTTACAATTTTTCACATTTACTTGATTATTACGCCATAATTTTAACATTGTTTCCATCTCAGCGATAATACTGTGACGTTTACGAATGATGCTTGAATTTAAAGATTGAGCATTTTTCACAGCTTCGAGAATTTTTTC